TTTTAAAGTTGGGCTCTTTAGGCAAGGGAGTTATGTCGGCCAATTTCCAAAGATCAGGCACAATGTGGTTTTCCAAAGAACAGTTGAAAATATGGGTAACAACAGGAGCAAGGTCGTATGCAAACTCTTTCCAAAACCAGTACGGGATTCCATCTGGACCAGAGGCAGTTCTTTTTAATTTCAGTAGACTCCTGGTAACACTGGAGACCGTTAAAACAGGCATCTTGCTTGATTTTGGGATAGTGACAGTGTATAAAGGGGATCAGTGTTAATGGAACAAAAAAAATTATTGATCTCGCTCGGGGAGATAATTGAGCTTACTTGCGAGTTGGTAGACTTCCTTCCTGTCAGGGAATTAACTGTTGACCACCAAGATTTGGATCCTGCACTGTTTCTCAAAATTCCCTTTAACTGCCCGAACTTGATTATTCTGATCAACTTGTTGATTTTCTCTTGAAGAGTTTGGATCTCAATCGAAACAGAATTTCCTGACATGTTACTTCGCTGAATCAATTTTCGCCGTTGGTCCAGTAGATGTTTGATTAGAGGAGAAAAGAACGGGAGGTCTCTATTAGACACACATACTGATATACCCGGAAACGCTCATCAAACATGGACTTAATCTTGGTACAAAAAAGATTAAGTTTTCCATTCACATCTCCGCATTGATAAACATTGTCCCAGTTATGAAACTTCAACAGTTTGTCCATATCCAGTTTATGATGATCACGAACATCTCTAAACATCACAGTTTTCCTTTCAGCCTTAAGTGCGATTCTGGGATATACCAGGACCATAGAGTGGTCAGATCGAACTAGTCCTTGAGCGACCGATACTTTCCTCCAAAAATGTGGGACATTAGTTATAAAAACATCCAAAATTTTGTTCTTTCTTGTCYGTGTATTCACCATCTGGAATAAATTTAGTTGTGTAAAAAATCATTGTAATCTAGCTGATTGAGGTCACGACAAATTATAAGGTTGCTGTTAGGATTACCAGTCAATAATCCATCACAACTATTTGTTAGATGTTCCAATAACTCATCAGGACAATATGGCGGATCTGGAGGATGATAAACAGCAGTCACATAAAAACTTGAGTTGGGAGTTGTAATCTTAGCCCACAAGCATTCAAAGGCATTATAAAAAACGCTGTCTAATCGTTCCAATAACCAATCGCTCCTACAGACAATAGCAACACCACCGCCTGACCGGTCAATTCTATCCTTTCGCAAAATTGAGTAATCCTTCGGACAAATGAGATGAGATGGAAAATTTGGTTTAAGCCATGTCTCGGAGATGATGCAAATATCGCAGTTGTTTGAGTGCAATTCCATATGCAAAGCAGAAGCAGCATCAACTTTAACAAGAGATCTTGCATTGATGACCATACATTTGGGGATTATTCGGGGTAAAGAAGAAGAGTGAGTAG